CATAATTTTGCAATGCTCAAGATATTAAACCACAGAAAGAGAAACTTAGTTTAATGGCTTACAAGACACTAGCTAAATCAAACAAAAAAGTAGTTGCACAATGATTTGGTATTTACCTGTGACAACACAAACACTTGCTATACTTTCCATACAGCTTGGTAAAATAAAAATCCAATTTTGCGGTGTGTTTTTGGAGGTTTGCAATGTATTTTCAATTTTCACAAAAATAATTAAGATTTTACCCTAAAAATATTTTCTTATAAACATAAAATTATATATAATTTTTTTTTTTATTGAGATACTAAGCTAGTCCTATATTACATGATACAATTACAATCAAATGGTTTGGTTGGGCTCTACAGTGTTCTTTCAGGTTTGCGGGGTTTAGCAATACTCTTATTATTAGTGCATTTAATGCACAAATTAGTGCATTAATCCACTTATTTTTCTATTTTTTTTTTTTTTGGAAAAAAAAAAATAGGGCCTCATACACATTTCTTTTCAATTGAACTTTTCCAAATGGATTTTGTAATTTGGTTTTAGATAACTAACTGTCTTGCCAGAACAACTGAGAAACAAAGAAATCATAAAAATCCAAAAGAAGGATTAAACGATGAAACACCTAATGCACTTAAAGAACAACTTGACATTTTCAAATTTATTTTATTATATTATTTATGTTTTTAAAATATAGTTCAACTTAGTGTTCTTATCTGAAAAAATTATGATTATTGTATTGAATAAATTGTTTATGAAAGGTTTTTAGTCTCAGGATGAATATATCTGAAGGCCATGTGGGGTGCCGTTAACACGAGTTGAACTACATTCTCATCCAAGCAAGAAAAATATTTTAATACATATCAAAGTGATCCATCTCTCAATCGTTTGCTTAACAGCATACTACTATAGTGCGTAGTATGAGTCACTTATGACGGAATAAAGATCACATCGCATTATGGATTCAGTAGAACATGCAACGATGAATCTGTATTAGAAATCTCAATACAAAGCAACACAACAAAATATATTTAACATATTATGAGTTTCCTGTTTTTATAATGTCTATCTATTCAAATAGAGTAAAAATTATATAAACTCCATTATTCACATATTCAAATATATCTGCCAAAATTATATTATCATACTTGAGTTCACTTGAGGTATCCTCAAAATGCCAAGATGCATCATTAATAAATAAACAATTAATGTAATATTGAAGCAAATTAACATACCAGTAATGAAAATATGATTGACATTATTAAAAACTATAATAAATAATACATATTTTGTTAGATTTATAATAAACTAAAAAATTTCAAAAGAATGCATAATATACTCATTATTAAAAGTAGAATTTGAAAAAAAGAATCACATCTTAGATTTACCTAAAATATAAAAGTCAACCAATAACCTATTAAATAATATGCGATGCTGCACCATAGGTAAACATTACGGAAAGAGGCATACACTATGAACCATTGCAGGCACGAATTCAATCAGTATTGCTGGGAATCAACGGTTCCCTAAGGAACATCAGGCTGGCATTAATTAATGTGGTAGTGCAGAAAGGAAATATCTCTCATGATTATGATGTTAGATCCACATATCACTTCCCTAATGGCTGATATCAAACAATTTGTTCTTAGAACATTTATTTTATGAACATTTTTGCATACGCACGAATGTAATCCATTTAATATCTGATATTATGTTAAAATTTAAATGCAAAAGAACAGACATATTTATCTATTAAAATTCAACATAAATCCATAGAAAGTTAATGTTTCTTAAGTTTGATAGGCCCATTCACTATTTACAACACAATACCCCACAGTATGTGGATAGCTACATGTAAATACAAAATCCTTTTTACATAGTAATATCCTTTAGACAAGAAATCCAAGTATACGAACTTCCTCCTATTACCAAAGAACTTCTGATTTCTATATTAAGCATTGTTCTTATTAACATTCCTTTTCATCAATCCCCAAGTGAATAAATGGTACAAAATATGAATCATCAACAATGACCCACAACCATTTAAATAATCTCCTGATATTCATTGTTTTTTTTTCTGAAGAACTTTTTTTCCTTCTACTACATATTATTATGTGAACCAAATACAAGTGATGTACCAATTGCAAAGTAGAAATGAAGCTAACCAAGTTTCTGTACACCAAAGTGCCATTATGAGACTTAAGCCATGTTCGCACTGGACAATTTTGACCAAGACGAAAATTAACTTTACCTAAATCGTACCACTCTTCATTTTAAACAGGCAAATAGACCTTCAAATGCTCGGCAATAAAAACATTAAATATATCACACTTTCATCTAGAGACATGTCCAAACTAGGGGAGGGGGAAGTTAGAACATCTCAAAAGAAATTATTAACAAACTATTTATTAGTATTAGTAATTAGTAATTGATATTGATTATAATTATAAATATTGGTTGCCGAATAGTTAAATTTATCTCTAATGCTTAATTATGAATATGGGTTGTTGGAAAGTTTAATTTAACGTTAGAGTCCACGTTCATGTACAGTAATAGTCTATTGCATAACTACTGTAAAACCGTGTCTTTGGCAATGTACCAAACACTCAATTTCCTTATTATGTATTGCAATCTATTTAATTGGACAATAAAGAATATATAATGTAATTAGGTTCCTTGTATCAGCATTGTCTCTACGTGCTATAAGAAAATATGAGACAAACATTAAAAAAATTAAAATCGTAGTCTCAATGAGCAACCTTTACAGTGCTGTGACTTTTCATGCACTGAGGGCCTTTTTTACGACTACTACAATAGAACCTAGCCATAAAAAACTTAAACTAAGGCAGGTTACGGAATGCATCTTGATAAGCAGTTTACTTAGCCAGGGACTCAATGCAGCCGACGGTCATTGGCCGACACAATTTTAAAAAGAAAGACGACATTCGTGCAACCGATCATATTTAACGACGATTGGTTCAGCCTGCCACTGACAATCAGCAAACGGCATGACGGTCGTATGCCCGGCTCAGGCCTACTGGAATGAAAGACCAGATGGGGGGGGGGCCATGATGGTGAAATGGGAGGACTCGATAATTATTGGAGGGGACGCTAACTCGCAAAATTAAGGTGATATGAGGCAATTTTTAACAACTTGAATTTCATTCTTTTGCTTAGAAAATTTCCAATGGGGCGAAAAAAGTAAAGTTGGGCAACTAGTGGGCATGAGCTTTTTTTTTTGGTGGCGTACAACCTTCACACACCCCTAGACATGCCACTGTTGATGTGTAATTCAATTGATTGAAAAAATAGTGAAAGATTCTAGTACTCAATTTTTAACAGAAGAGCAAAAACCTGGTAGCTAATCTACTGGGTATGATACTAATTTCTCACCTGTACACAGATGTTTTAAAGGTCATGCACAGTTCAGAAGGTTATGACTAGAAGCAGATTAATGTACTATATAACCATACAAAACATACAGTCCCTGTAGAAAGTTTTACATGATCCCTTTAGATTCCGATAATTGTGTTAAACTTAAAGAAAATGTATATTTCGCATAAAAGTTACTTCGTACTGACGGGATAGAACTATGTGGTTTAACTAAATTTTCATAATTATTAATTATATTAGTACGGACCCTTTGAATTTCTTATTAGATGTGAACAAATATCCTCATATTTACCATATATATTTTATCCGAAGACATTAGGATTGGAAAGCAAGTGAAGCTCTACTACCATAACTATTAAGTATTCCAAAAGTGCCGTATATTCTGGTGTATAAGCCGCAAATTTTATACGCGATTTTTCCCCCGAAGTTTGGGGTGCGGCCTATACACTGGTCAGTAACCTACTCCCAAAAAGTTCAGATCGCAAGCCGCTGCGAAAATCAGTCACCGTTTGCCTAGCTTGGGCCCATGCTAGCCCAATTAATTAGCCTAGGGCAGGACCGGTTTGAAGGCCTAGTATTTGTAATTATACTCACTACAGTGCTGTACAAGGATTCCTACTACATTTTCTACGACATTCAAGCAATGGTTTGGGTTGTCTAAATAATTATTTTCATAATTACGTTCACTCATAAACAATTTTAAAATACGCTGTTTTTGTTCGAAACCGCTTCGCTAAAAACAATAACAAACTACTTTTCGGAAGTTTTCGGTTCTCGAGGTCACATGAGCTGCTTCAATTACGATGTCGCAATAAAACACACATGGACTGGTGAAACTTGCTGTTCGACGTCTGGTTCTCGGTGTCTTGTACCGTTATAGAGAGAATATTAATACCGCTATAATTTTAGAATAAAAACTTGTGAAATTGATTTATGCTATAAAACACGAGTTTTCTTGAAATTGTAATAATTATTTTACTGGAAGTTAATTGAAGGCAGGCATACGTCATCTGTGCATGCGTAAACTTTGTATCACGCGATATTTCTCCAGTTCTGTTTTTGTTTATAAAACGTGGTGCGTGATGGTGCGTGCTTTGCAGTGGGCTGTGAGTAGTGATGACTTAGGCCTAGAATTACCAATATTTTTAGCCTAATACCGACTATTATTAGTCACCATAATAATAGAATGATTGTTTAAAATAGATAAATATACTCAATAAGTATTTTATTTTATTAGATTTTTTTTAACTTAAACTAAATTGATGTTTAAAATTCTAGTAGCACGACCGTCTAGCAAGAAATGGGGATTTCCCTAGAGCTGCCTAGCGCAAGAATACATTGTTTCATTGCGGTAGCCAGAAGTTAACATGCATTTCCAGTTATTTGTTGTTTAATAATCGGCTGAAAAAGATGAAATTTCTTTATGTGAACATTTGTAAATAATGTCAATGTTTCAAAATAATTAAAAACCTAACATTATAGGAACAGTTTAGAGCTTAAAACAGGTGCGGCTTATATACAGGTGACACAAAAAAATTTCATTAAATAAAAAAATAAAAAAATCATCAGTATAACACTTAATACAAATTAGAAAAAAATACACTACTCACATGCAGGAGATTTATATTGAGAAAATTTAGCAGATCAAGGCATTCGTAGCAGGAACAATAATACTGATAAAAGCCGAATCTAAAAATACAAGAAAAAAATTGAAGTATTCAATGTGTACTTGTAATATCAACATTCGTATCTAAATAACGAAATAGCTCATGGCAATAATATTTAATAATAATATTAATGTACGGTGTTTATATTGCACATTTAATAATAATGATTACGTGCCGAAGTGCACATAATGTCACTACCTCTTGGTCATTGACCCACGATGATATACAGTTCTCCCTCCAATGACGACCCCCTCCAATTAAGGACCATCTCCAATTAAAGACTACTATTCTGTAGTTCCAAATTAACAGATTTTTTTAATCTTTATTTTTCTAATGAGAGACCAAAGCTGCTAAAGACCATGGAAACCCCAGTCCCAGGGTGGTCTTTAATTGGAGGGAGACCTGTACACTAATTATCAAGGTGTCAAATGTAAGTACATCATAGGCTTAAGCAACTTGTCTGACAGGCCAAACCCCCTCCACATTGGCCACAATTTGTTGCACCAAAAGGGGGAGAACTTTCTATTTACTTTTTGTGAATACATAATACGTCCTATAAACATCTCAGAGCAGCTTAGAATGGCTGAAAATTGATCAGTTTTTCTAGGTGCCTGTGTATGGCGTTTCCAGTTTCCCCAGCTGAAAATTTTCAGGCTTTTGCTAGATAAGTTTCCCTTCTGAATACCATATACTATAGCAACCAGAGATATGGTACTAGAACAAAAACAGAACTGAATTCAAGCAGATTTACAGTAAGCAATGCTTACATCTGGAAAAAATACTCCACCAATACCGGTACCGTTGAATTGCTCATTCAAAAAAATAAGGACCAAACACTTAAAATCAAATGAGAGAGAGAGATCAAACAACTGATTTTTAATATTAAAAATTATTATTACAAAACTTCTTAAATAAATAATAGCTAAAATAATAGAAAATAAATATATTGAGAAGAGAAAATATTTTCTTAAGTAATACCTTACATAAACAAATAAATTCAACTTTCTTAAATTAGCTCAATAAACAATCTTTAACATTTTGTTATCATGGCTGAGGGATTTAATAGTATTCGCAACTAAATTTAACAAGATCACAAATATTCATTTCGACAAGGTACAACAAACGGATGAGTCAGAATATATTATAGCTGGATTCAAACACATCAAAGCAATATTGGCTATGTGTATACAGGCATGTCTGAATGTGAAACCTGACATTGCATTGCATCTGTACACCAACTCCATGGGGACATTTTGTGTGTGAATAACAAACCTATACTGAACACCTATTTGCATTGTATTTTTAAGGAGGCCTGTCTTGAGAAATAGACAGTCGGTGTCAACTACAAATAGACATTACCTTAATCATGTTTGTCTTCAATGGGATTAACTACAAATTCAGATTATGGAATGTATCCTTTTTTAGCTACCAATTGCTAATCAAAAACTAAACATCAAAAGTTCTAAGAAGTTGTGTCAACTAGTAAAGTATTTATCACATCTATCATCAACTTTTTATGATTTAGTTATCAAACACTTACAGTTACTTAAAAGATATATAAAATTTTTGAATATTAAAAACTGGGAGAAAACCTTTTACCCCCAAATTTAAATATTCAAGAATGTTTATCTCATTAACCGTTCATCAAACACTCTTCTTTCTTTGTGTCTTAAAATATTAGTTGTAAAACATATCAAAAAATTGTTTTTCCTCTGGAGCATAAATCTATATCAAAATCATAATCCATTGAGAGATAGAATGCAAGATTACCAGAAGCCACGATTTATTTTGATTAAAACATATGATTGTGCATTCTGTTGTTCAGATAAACTCTTAAATGTCACATCCAGGCTGCCAATATATTTGAATAAACCATAATAAAGCTATGTACAAATATTGATAGCATCATTTTTTAAAACAGCTGCTTTAGTTTGGATGTTACCTTTAATCGTTCAGGTTGCTCGCATATATTTACTTGAATGCATACATTAACCTTAAGTGACCTTTCAGTATTTTTTTATGTAATTTTATTATATTAAACAAAATATCACAAAACATTATTATCAGCATTTTCAAAATGCACTGTAAAGTTTAAGTTACTGTATACATTTTATTACTATTAATTTTAAAATGTTAGTGTTTTTTAACTACAAAATAATTTCTTACAAATGATTGAATATCAACTCTGGTAAGTATATAAATGCCAAAACATTGACATGGTTTTTAATTTTTTTTTTTTCTTTTTTTTTTTTTGTAAATCCCATGCATATCAGTTTTTACTGCAAAATAGATCAATAAATTATGAATTTTTAATTTTAACTTGTCTAAAAGCAAATATTAGTGTGTATTTTAAACAATGGAATATTTTTACTCACTAATCATACTAAATTGCTACACATATTTAATTACTATATTCATTATTGTATACCATTTTAGTGTATTGGTGGCTTTTAGATATTTTCTACCTTGATATGGAGTTAACAGTTTTACTGTACAAACCTATGGTAAGCAACGTTTTGCCTACGTTGGTTTTAAAATATAACATGAATAAAGAGCATTTCTTAAACAAAAAAACTACAGTAACTAAACTGTAAGAAAGCCATTGGATATCAAAAAGCATGTAGACAGAAAATAATTCTGACACTTCTTTTTTAAAAGATTACAATTCATTACGTTTAGCATGACATTTAAAAAGCATCCTAGTGCAGTGCATATGTAGGATCATGTTAAAAGGTTACGGATATTAAATAAATAACAAATCCTCAGGAAATTTTTAGTCAAGAGCCAGGTAGAATTTTTACCTTTCAACTTGATTATCTTATCATTATTATTACATTCCATGAATACTTCATAAACAAGAATTAGTACACAAATATAATTATCATTGTGTACGTCAGAACGCTAGTCATATTGATCATCATTTATGACAACCTCAATATTACTATCTTTACCCAATGTAAACGATGAGATGCCTTGTTTGGTTTAGTGATCCGGAGGCTCAGGGGATATAGTTGGTCTTTGATGACATGACGTTTTACATCAATATACTACTGGCAAAAACCTTTTTACTAAATATAAATATCAATATAATAATTAACCTTCTATTTTACTAACACAATATTTGTTTATGTTTGTTTTCTCTCCTTGTTTTGCCATGTTTTGTCCCCTCTTCTCATCTTTGTATTGTTATCTATTTAGGCTCTGTCCCCTCCCTTGACATTTCTTCAAGAATGTTTTATTATTTATTTATAGGAAGTATTCTAAATGTTTTCCTCTTATCAATTGTTGTAATGTTTTTATGTACTTATTGAATAAAAGTGATTTTAAATAAAAATACTGCATATAATTATATTAATATATTTTATGCTCTACATTACATTTGAATGTGTGATTATTATAAAACATATTTCCAAATTAAGTTTTACATTTATAAATCCAAACTAGAAATATAACGTCAATAAATGACATACTCAAGATTTGGAAAATTTAGAATAATTTAATTAAAAGTGATTGCCATTAATTTCCAGACCAATTAAAACTTAATTAGAGTTTACAGGCAATTAAGAAAAACTTGCCAGTTATCTTTACCAAGTTAAATACTATGGAACGCTGATTGATGGGGTAACATAGATGTTATAAATGTACAATACGTCGACTGTTGAGGCTCCTAAGGCCAGCCACTCACTGTGTCGTACTCCGCTCCCTGTGAGCGCTAGACGACACAACGCCGTCTGCTGATGGTCAGTAGCAGTCTGAACGGATCGATCGTCATTAAAAACGATTTGTTGCACATGCGTCGTCCGTCGTGTTCCGTTCTTCATCGAATCGCGTCAGCCGATGACCGTCAGCCGCAGAGAATGCCCAGCTTAATAATTAATGATTCGTTTAACAAATCCCTTCACTGTAAATCCAATTTCAGGCATTAGCACTGGATTTATTCAGTGTAAACACCAAGGATAGTCCACGAAAGTCTAGAAGAAGACTTATTCCCAGTGGGGTCCTTCTGGTGGTGATTGGGCAGTACACCAGAAGACAATCCCCTACTCTTTTCTGAAGAGTGTACTGCGTTCTTTAACGTGCACATGGGCCATCAATGCACACGGGACCAACGGCTTAAACGTCTCATCCGAAAGACAGTGCGCTATTATAACTTGTATTTCAGTCCTCCAGCTGAAATACAAGGAGAGGCAGCGATGGGAATTGAACCGAGGCAGCGATGGGAATTGAACCGGGGACCCAGAGATCTCCACGGTCCAGTGCACGCACAGTGGCTACCACCAGATAAGCTGACTGAGCTAAGCTGCTCTCTCATTGTAAATTCCAAAGTAATTTTTGGTATCTTGATAGTTTAGATATCAATTTGGTATATTTTTATAAGACACAAGTGGCCTTAAAGACCATTTAATTATTATTAACTACCTGTTGAATATAATTGTTTAGCATATGTATCAGAGTTCATTTACTATAATTTTGTGTTAATGTAAAGTTACCATATACCCAGGCCTAAAAGCTACAGCTATAAAATTTGCAATATCACATGATCAAGAAGAAAAAATATATTCTGAGAAGAGAAACACTTTGCTGAAATGGCATTTGATTTATATAAGTACAGTATTCGGAAAATTGACATTAAGGTACTTAGATTAAAATTGGTAAAAAGCATGTACTGTACATCATAATATAAATATGTTTCAATAAACAAGCATTTATTTCACATTTTATCTGCTCATCATGTTGTATTCAAAATTGTGGGAATTCAGAATAAGTTAATAAAATATATAAATAGTCTAAGATAACTCCTATGTGAAAGGAGAACATAAAAATATTTACAGGATCTGGTAAAGTTATTATATAGTCAACCTGATTATACAATTGTTTAATAATATACAAGATATATTTCTGATCATGATCATTGGGATGCTTGCCTTTTATACCAAGGGTTGTAGTTTCAATTTCTGTAGTGTCACAGCAACAGGATTCTTTTCTCATGACCAATGACAACCCCACCTCCAATAGCCTCAT